AGGAATTACCACATTAGAGCAAGTTTATATAAAACAATTAAAATAATTATATTATTTGGATGACAGGAAAAGGTTTTAAATTTATTTGGGGGCAAGAGAAATCCAACTTCCCGTTACACACCTCCTGCTCCTGACAAGACCTAATCCTGTCTGTAGAACTCCAGAAGGTAGATGAACTGAGGAAGCCAGGATTCAGACAAGGAGCAATACTTCAAGATTTCAAACTCTCTTGAAAAAACCTTTATACTCAAGCACCTTGTTTCTTTGAAATACTACGCTGGCTTGCTTCATTATCCCTTCCCCCCATTTGACGGTATCCTTACAGAGTCAGTAAAGTTCCGAAATACAATCAAGTCCTCACCTTTTACAGGCAGATTTCTCTGTCAGCAGTTCTGGAGAAACATACTGCGCCGTCCCTACGAATGAGTTTGCCCGCGCTGGTAAGAAAATGGAAAGAAATAAGCAAGTACATACTTAGGGAGAAGCCAACCCCCCTCCCCCTTCCTCCCCTGCCCCCATCCAATAAAAAAAGCCCAAAGGCAACCTATGGAAAGGTACATAATGCTACAAAGAACCCATAAGAATTTCATTGCTCTACCCATCCACAAAACCTGCTTGGAAAAGACAAATCAATTAATCTCAGTGATACCTATCTGGCTCAAGAAGCCAGGCACTTTGTTAGGTACAAAAATCTACCAACACGTGCTTTCTACACCCAAGTAAAATACGTTAATCAAATTCAGTTTAGCCTAGTGCTTTTTTCAGGTGTTGTTTGCAACATCGCTGATTCATGGGTTAATACTAAGCAACTAGTGACACAAGAAATCTGTAACCTTCACATTTAAAAAACTGGTAGTCACTGGGGTTAAATGCATATGCAGAGTAAAAACTTACTGTTTCAGATGAACCACAGTAACTATGCTTGCACTCTTGTCTTGCAAACGAAAAGTAATTTGAAGTAGTTTAACTTCCCACTTTATTTGGTTTATTTATACCTGGCTACACCACCACACCAAGTATTACCTACTCTGACATAATCCAAGCAGTGACAGTCAAAACTGCTCCAACATCTCTCAGTGCTTGTGTTAGATAAAAGGCAACGATATTGGAATGTTACAATTCGGTAAATGCAACACATATTTTCAAAGGACCACTTGCTATAGCTACCTGTGTCACATGATGAAATAAATAAGGACCTACCTTGTCTGCTGTCTGCAGATAATACTTTTGCTGTTCCAAAGTCTGTTATTTGAATGTGCATGTCTTCATTTAGCAAGATGTTCTCTGGCTTAAGGTCCCTGGAAAAGGCAGATTTTTGTACTCAAACAGCACACAAATTAAACCTGCAAAACTGTCTAGTGACTTATGTATATAATGCTGTCATAAATGATGCAGACATTCTGTGAACATTGTTGTGTCAACTTTCCTCTAACTTGTGGCTGTCAACATGCAGACTGGTAACAGGTTTTGAAAAGCCCATTAATTACCATTTTTTCTAAAAAGACCTGAAGTAATGAATAATCTCAAAGCTCAGCTGTTGTGCATCTCACTTGTTCAACAAAAATGGGAAAAAAACCCCAAACCAAACCCACAAACCCTTCACTCCCAAGCCTCAGTTTGAATAACACCTGACAGACGGATACAGCAGTAGGATCCCATGGGCCTGTTCCCTCAGTGCCAAACTCCAGTTAGTCGGTGCCCCCCACCCGCCCCCAGCTGGATGTCCAGCAGACAAGAACTGTAAACCCCCTCCACTCTAAGAATTGCATTGCTTATATTTGTCACATACAAACCCAGTTATAATCTGTATTTCAAATGTATGCATACCATTTGTATGGGCACCGTCTCTGATTCTGGATAAAACCAGTCTCATAGTATCACACACAATAGAGTAATATAGAGTTAGATGTCAAAAGGTTCATTAGCAAGAACAAAAAATTACAGTTATGATATTATTTACTTCGGCTCAAGTTTCCTCAGCTGACAAGGAAAGATGATATCCTTGTCTCCTAAGAAGTATCTCTGGATGCTCCTAAACAAATCTAGAAGCACAGGAGTTGTTTTGGTTGACCGGTAAGAAGAATCAGTGCAAATTCAAAGCTATTTCCGTCAGCCAGTGTGCAGCATTATTCTCCTCAGATTACAGCCCCCTGCTATTGCAAAGCATGGGTTGTGCAGCTGTACATTTTAAAGCCTGTGGACTAGCACAGAGAGCAATTGGAATGAAGGAATTCTGACACAGCAGCCACAAAAGTCCCGCTCATTTTCCTCTAACTATGCTCAGAGAGAGTAGAAAGTATGTGAATGAAATGGACCTTTTTAACAGTTCTGTGTGAGATCTTTTACATATACATCCGTGTGTGTATATATTGTATTCTATACGCACATATACAGACAGTTTGTATATCATATACCTATATTAATGTTACATTACAGATCTAGGCTATAGCCGTATATCTAGACACACGGAGAGAGATATCTGCAGTAACTTTTCCAGAGTAGCCTGGCATCTTGAAGTGGTTCTCTCTCAGGTTGTATTTCTTTAGGCAGCAGAAAATCCCAAGAGCTTTCAGGCGCTGCTAGAGCTATGGACTTACAATTAAACAAACTTAGCATAAAGTTCTCCAGCTGCACAATTTCACCATGTTCTTTCGAGCTTCTCATAGTGGCCTTCATATGAAGACAAATATAAAGCAGCTTTTCTAATACAGGATTTCCGATATAGGCTTAGTACTACTGACAATCATGCTCTATGCATTCTGTAAGCATACTGCCAGCCTAAGGCATGAGCTGTATGACCCTAGTGAAACGTGGAGTTCTTGAACTTTTTTCCCCCCTGTAGAAAATGTTATGCTTTTAGTACTCTCCACATCCAGCCCCCTTAGATTCTATTCTCAAGTATTTCACAGAGTAGTATTAGGAAAATACTTTGTCCTTTTAAATATGACCAAAAGTAGTAATAATGCTATCAGAATTATAACCAGCCAGCTTTTTGCCAGCTAGCACCTCCTGTTCCATGAACAGCTGCTTGAGAACCGTCGGACACAATAGATTTCTTGCCCAAAGAGAAGTTCTGCAGCTCAGATTTCTCACACTTACAGCTTTAATTTGTTTAACAAACATGAATGACAAAACATGCTTATCCAGACAATATAATTATATCAGGAACAACTGCAAAGGTCCCATCAGAAACTTTAAGTTTCACCATTTCCCTGGTTACTGTTCAGCTTTGTGGAAGTTGTTCATTCTGAAAAACGACACACACTGATTTTACTGTTCTTGATGGCATGCTGCACACTAATTCACACACCAGCAGAATTCTGTTTACTTTTGGTGCATAACACTACAGGAAAAAATGCAGTTAAACAAAAAGTTGGTTTCTGCATTTAGCCCAACTGATCAAGTTTGGAAAAGACGAGCTTTTGGTAATGGTAATTCTAGGCCAAAAAGTTTTCTTACTTTTTCCCCTGCTAGAACAGTTGGTCTAATAACAGAGACTGGCTCTCCCCTAAAGCGTTCTTAGTTCGGCTCCCAGTGTTAACAGCACCACCAATGCTAATGCAACTCTGGCAGGCTCTCCCTAGCTTTCCACAAAATCCACATCTGCTTTAGGCTTCACAAGGAACATTTCCACAAAAAACACCTTGTGCACAATCAAATGTGTGTTGTATTACCTGTGAATTATTCCTTTCCCATGCAAATACTCCAGGGCTGATACAATTTCAGCAGTGTAAAACCTGGTACAGGTCTCATCAAATGAGCCAATTTTGCGTATATACTTTAGCAGCTCTCCGTTTTTGGCATAGCTAAGCCCAAAATCTGAATGTAAGTATAGTTAAGGTCTATCACTAAACCATTCTAAAACAAAAATCCCCACACCTCATTTCAAAGACAAAAATAATACTAAAAACACACGGAACAGGGAAGAATTGAAGATGGTTAATTTGAAACTTTGCATGGTAGCAACCCAAAACAATTTCTTAAATATATTAGCAGCCTAGGACACAGGTCCCGATTTCCTACCGCAGCAGAGACTACATAAGAGTTAAATGCGTAGTTTCTACAGTCACCTGAATAACTCATTTAAATTGTTTACATATTTGCCTTCAGAGAGAACTACTTGTAGTCATAAGGAGCATTCAACCTAAGTTTAACATTGCCCCATCATCTGGAAAGTTCCAAAGTCAACCCAGCATTCACTAAGCGAATATTTACATTACGAAAGAAAGCCCCGTAAGTCCTCTCGGTGCATGCATGTACATACGTATGGGCACAATATAGGGCCTGCTAAGCACAGCTAGCAGCCTCTGTGGAAAGCACAGCTACTTGCTGGCCCCAGAAATAGCAAGCTATCCTTGTACCCTTGGCACAGCCAATTCAAAGCAGGGAGTCTAGGAGCAAATTCACACAATTAACATTTTCTTCACAAGGAAAAAAAGCTGACTGCAAACCAATGAGCTTTCCAGATGCACCTGCGCTTTGCAATCCCAGCTAGAGAGAAAACTTGGGGAACAATGGCCCAAACAGAAGAGCTGCAGCTTTCTAGCATTTGGATTATTCTACATAAGAAAAATGTTAATAAATCTAATTTTTCAAATAAGAAATAGTAGCAAATATAGCTGTCTCCCCCTATTTTAAACACAGGAACTGTGGTGTTTTACTGTATACATCAGAAATAAAACATTTCTCACACACCCCTGATGGTTTTTTTTTTTTATTATTTTAAACTTAGATTGTTGCAAGTTGCCCTTCAGCATTTACCATGCTGACAATAAAAGTTACAGTTCTCTTCATTTCCCCCGTCCTGCAAGTCACCCACTCTTTTCTTTGAGGGGCCACACTTACTCTATTTGCTTATATGCTATTAAAAGCAAGACTGCAAAAATTGCATGGCAAACATTAATACCTCAAGTTATTTCCATCATTCCTGTTAGACAATGTTTTAAAGGATTGTTACCTTTAGGAAAGCCTCACAGCAAGTTTTAAAATGCAAAGGATACATAGCTTCTCATCATCCTGAAAGGTGAAGTAGAGTTTCACAAAAAAAGGGTGATCTAGGCGGGACATGACATCTCTCTCTCGTGTCACATATGGCACCTTGTTTTCTTTTATGATATGACGCTTTTCTAGAATTTTAACTTAAAGAAAAAGAGTGAAAATGCAGGAGGTACAACCAAATAAAGTTTAAGTAATTTGGTTTTTTTTTTTGTTAGAAAGTTATCATAAAACCACTAATTCTGTCTTTTGAACAGGTGTTTTGTAACAGGACCACATTGACAGGGTATTTTTAAAAAGTTCATGTTGAAGCAGTCAATACTTACTGGCATATTCTCTAGAACTTGCCAATTCTCGAGCCAAGACAACCTGTTGCCAGAGGAGAGAAAATAGATTGTAACCATTCAAAGACATCCATTAACTTTGGTTTTGATCTCCCAGTCAGTACCAAGAATACTGATCATCCAAGACAAGCTATCACAACTGCAATCAGCAAAATATTTAAGCATGTGTTCACATTGTGCTGCCTTCGGCAAGACCTCGGCAGAAATTCAGCTCAGCACACCACCACTTGTTTTGCTAAGACTTACACACCCGACTGGGTAATCACTGATTTACTTTTTACTCCCCCAGAAGAACTCTGAAGATTGTAGCATAAGTCACAGTAAATTGCCAAATCTTCTTAAGGGGGACGGAGAAGCAACAAGTGCAATGAGGAATATCTATAAAATCTGTCACAGTACTTTTTCTTAACATAAATGGCAGAGATTGAAAGATAAAATTTATCTGAAAGATCAAAAGTAAGAAGTGAGACAGAGCTTTTAACTATTTAGATTGCTTTCCTAATAAACTGTAAAGAAAGGGAATGAGAGCTTTCCGATTAGAAAAAAGGGATAAAGCTCCTGGCAAGCAGTTCTGCCTTTTTAAAGAGAAAAGCTTTTGGAGGAATGCAAATTAAAGCTCATCTCCAAGAAAGAACTTCTACAGAAGGCACCTTCCAAGGCCATCTGAAGAGTCCTCTTGCATGAATCCGAGCAATAACCTTGTGACAACAGATGACTGCAGTTCCTGCTTTTCTCATTCCCAGTTTACATCCATTCCAATACCTTGCTAGGATCTCAACATTATACTGATTTTTTTTTTTTTTTTTGAAATCACTGTACTGGGCTTGCTTCTAATGCACTTCTCATTATATTCTAACCCCTTGCAAAATCAGTTGTAACAGAGTACCCCAAAATATTATTACATACCCCCGGCCACTAAATGTTAGTCTTTTAAGAAAAAGAGCTTCTAAATAAGGCATTTTCTCGGGTCAAAGAAGTGCATGCAGTTGCACTCTTTTGGCATTAGAAAACTGAAATCTCAGCTCAGTAGTAAGAGGCACCTTTAATTTTCTAAAAAAGTTCATCTTCTGCAAACACATTGGAAGTCACAGTATTTAGTTAATCAAAATTTCCACTAGAAACCACCAGGGTGTTACAAGCTGCATCCCTGCATAAGGAATTCTTGAGACCCCTCTGTGTACACAGGTAACGCTATTTAAAGCTGTGCAATCAAATGAGAATGTTTTTAACTTTTCTAGTTTTTGTTGCCAGGTTTCATCAATCACATCTACCATTAAAGCCACTGAAAACAGGTCACTTTACAAGTCAGCTGTCAAACACATACCCAGATATATAGCACTAGCCTTCTGCGTTTTGCAGATTGATACTTCTACATTCTCATAAAACAATCCAGTGCCATCGGTAAAACAAAAATCCAATAGGCAATCTTGCTATCTATACACATGCACAGATGGCAGAAGTGATTAAAGTATCTCTTGCCTAATAACTCTCAAATTTGAATTAAGCTGTATAGCCCCAAAGACTGACTCTCCTCCACATACTTATATTGATATTGAGCAGCTGTGTTCCAAGTACTCAGGACTGAATATTTAACTCCTAGCATGAGTACTTGGGTACCCTCAAGTCCCTTCCTCACTGAACGAATAAGAGTGTACCATATATGCTAATTTCCTCTTAACTAATAATCTACAAAACCCAGTAGAATCACAACCAAAAAAAAGAAAAAGAACAAACCCACAGAGGTACATGCTATCAGGGGCCTGAATCCTATCCACTCTATGGGAAGAAGTAGTATCAGTACAGAATGTAAATTCCACAGAAAGTAATTAGACCTTGGTTAGGTAACTTAAAAACAAAAGCCAAACCAAAAACCAAACCCAAACGGATTCACAGAACATGTACACATGTAAGTTGCAAATTCAGACAACAGCAAGGCAAGAAATGTCATTCAACACCCCGAATGCAGGAAGGCAATATAAGAAGAGCAAAGAACCCTCAACAGAGGCTACAAAGCAAAAAAAAAAAAATTTTCAAAAAAATTGGCAGACATCATGGCGTCTTTTAAGAAAAAGAGCTTCTAAATAAGGCATTTTCTCGGGTCAAAGAAGTGCATGCAGTTGCACTCTTTTGGCATTAGAAAACTGAAATCTCAGCTCAGTAGTAAGAGGCACCTTTAATTTTCTAAAAAAGTTCATCTTCTGCAAACACATTGGAAGTCACAGTATTTAGTTAATCAAAATTTCCACTAGAAACCACCAGGGTGTTACAAGCTGCATCCCTGCATAAGGAATTCTTGAGACCCCTCTGTGTACACAGGTAACGCTATTTAAAGCTGTGCAATCAAATGAGAATGTTTTTAACTTTTCTAGTTTTTGTTGCCAGGTTTCATCAATCACATCTACCATTAAAGCCACTGAAAACAGGTCACTTTACAAGTCAGCTGTCAAACACATACCCAGATATATAGCACTAGCCTTCTGCGTTTTGCAGATTGATACTTCTACATTCTCATAAAACAATCCAGTGCCATCGGTAAAACAAAAATCCAATAGGCAATCTTGCTATCTATACACATGCACAGATGGCAGAAGTGATTAAAGTATCTCTTGCCTAATAACTCTCAAATTTGAATTAAGCTGTATAGCCCCAAAGACTGACTCTCCTCCACATACTTATATTGATATTGAGCAGCTGTGTTCCAAGTACTCAGGACTGAATATTTAACTCCTAGCATGAGTACTTGGGTACCCTCAAGTCCCTTCCTCACTGAACGAATAAGAGTGTACCATATATGCTAATTTCCTCTTAACTAATAATCTACAAAACCCAGTAGAATCACAACCAAAAAAAAGAAAAAGAACAAACCCACAGAGGTACATGCTATCAGGGGCCTGAATCCTATCCACTCTATGGGAAGAAGTAGTATCAGTACAGAATGTAAATTCCACAGAAAGTAATTAGACCTTGGTTAGGTAACTTAAAAACAAAAGCCAAACCAAAAACCAAACCCAAACGGATTCACAGAACATGTACACATGTAAGTTGCAAATTCAGACAACAGCAAGGCAAGAAATGTCTCATAAAACCCCGAATGCAGGAAGGCAATATAAGAAGAGCAAAGAACCCTCAACAGAGGCTACAAAGCAAAAAAAAAAAAAATTGTCAACATAATTGGCAGACATCATGGCCAAGCCCAACTCAACCTGAACAAACACTTCAGACTGCCAGAGATTAAGTCTGCATTTAAGAACTGGTTTTGGTCAGACTCTCAATACTTCCTTAGAGCTCCTCCTCCTCTCCAAGAGAAACCTCATTTATAGGTTGAGACAAAACCAAGGGGGGGAAAAAAAACCCAGACAAATGAACTCTGTACCAGCCATCTTCTGTACCAGCCATCTAGGAGGTGATTAGGACAACATGCCTGCCCAAACATGAGAATTATAATTCTGCCACCACATAACAGATACTAGTCTGAGAGGAGCTTGAAGCTGTCTACAAAGCAAGCAGATTTTCATTACTTTAAAAGAGCAGAGCAACAACTAAAAGGCCCTGCATTTGTGTATCTGTTAATACCAAGCATGGGTCCAAGAAAAATCACAGCTGCGGAATCCCACACAACTGCAGAATTCTCTGAAGAAAAATCCTGAGGCCAGATCATGTGCATCTCTGCTGAATTTGAAATATAGCACCGGCACCAGGTAGAGTTTGTGGTAGCTTAATAGAAGTCCAAGGAAACTGAATAAATTAATTATGACCCCAAGTAAGTGATTTTTAATTTTTTTTAATATGAAGCTGTCTTTGGCAGCATGGTAATATGAAGGCCCATACTTTTTGAGATGAACACTTTTCAGCCAGAACATCAGTGAAGATCTTGGGGCGCACAATCAGATCTCTGAATCTACAACCATATTTAATAAGAAAGAGGGCAAATTTAGATTAGATATAAAGAAGAAATTCTTCACCATGAGGGTGATGAGGCACTGGCATAGGTTTCCCAGAGAAGTTGTGGATGCCCCATCCCTGGAAGTGTTCAAGGCCAGGTTGGAAACCTGGTTTTGGGGAGGGCGCCCCTGCCTATGGCAGGGGGCTTGCAACTAGGTGATCTTTAAGGTGTCTTCCAACCCAAACCATTCTGTGACTATATGAAGAACAAAGCATATGCTTTTTAACAAGATGTTTTGATAACAATGTGAAGATACATGCCCCACATGGCATGAGCTGTGGTGTTGATATATCAGAGGGTTGTGCTGCCATCCAGAGGGACCTCAGAAGACTGAAGAAGTGGGCGGACAGGAATCTCATGCAGTTCCCTTTTTTGAACTACAAATTCCTCCTCCTGGGGAGGAATAATCCCATGAACCAGTATGTGCTGAGGACTGATGGGCTGGAAAGCAGCTTCGCAAAAGAGGACCCAGGGGTCCTTGTGGACACCAATCTGAACATGAGCCAGCAATGTGCTCTTGCCACAAAGAAGGCAAATGGTATCCTGGGCTGCATCAGGAGGGATGTTGCTGGAGGTGACCCTTCCCCTCTATTCAGCACTGGTAAGATCACACCTGGAGTACTGTGTCTACAGTTCTAGGCTCCTCAGTAAAACATCTACTGAAGAAAAGGACACTAAGATTATTAGCAGAGTGAAGAATCTCTCATTTGAGGAAAGGCCGAGAGAGATGGGATTGTTCAGGCTAGAGAAAAGGCTCAGGGGAAATCTCACCAATGTATATTTATATCTGAAGTGTAAAGAAGATTGATTCAGGCTGTTTTCAGCAGTGGGCCAAACTGAAACACAAGAGGTTCTATCTGAACATCAGGAGACTTTTTTACTGTGAAGGTGACCAAACTCTGGCACAGGTTGCCCAGAGAGGTTGTGGAACCTCCATCCTTGGACATACTCAAAAGCTGTCCAGACATGGTCCTGGGAAACCAGCTCTAGGTGGTCCTGCTTGAACAGGGGGTTTGGATGATATCACCTCCAGAGGTCCCTTGCAACCTCAGTCCTTCTGTGATGCTACAAGAGCAGCAAGCAAGCTTCCTTCTTGAAGGATGCAGTCTATAGGCTGAAGGCTACAGTTATCCTCAACTTGAAAGTTTTTAAATTAAAAAATCAGTTTATGAAGCCAGAAATGGACATTATTTTTTAAATAATAATAAGCAAGTACTGTGAAGTCCCCTCCAGCAACAGTTTGTAACTTGTTCAGTGGCCAGAGAGAATAGGCAAGCATCCCCTGGAGTCTGATCATTAGGAAAGGCATCCCTAAAATTATTGATGAGTTTCTAAAGTGATAGCACTGCAATAATGGACCAGAACTGCGGAGGTCGACAGAGGTGGTGACAGGCAGGAAGAACTAACTCCCAAACGCGTTCTCTCTAGCACTGAGGCCCAGATGATTATGGCAACTGAAATTCTGCTTGTAAAACTCAAAACAATAAGGCTACGTAGGGATTAACATTTTCATGGTATTCAGTCTGTCTCCTGCTGCCCAACTAAATGCATTTGAGCTACCTAGACTGGGGAACAAGAAAACCCCCTACCAGTAAGCAGGTAGCAGAATGCTGGAACCCAGGTTTATTCAGAGTTTGGGCTAGGCCCTATGAATTCCTCTATTTACAAGGAACATGGTACTAACTTTCAGAGACCACAAGCAAGAATTAAGTGTCTCACTGAAGCATTGTGTTCCGGTATACCCAAGAGGCAGCAGCCTGCTGGATTCTTTAGGGAAACCTGCAAGTTGCAAACTATGTATTTAAGTGCAAATTACTTTTGATGACTACTAGAGGCCTGCTTCCTAAACACCACAGTAGATGGTATAAGAATCACCACAAAAAACCCAACATTTAGAGATCAACAACCAAAAGGTATATACAGCAAATGGCATGTGAAAAAGATGTGAAAAAGATACAGAAATACTTCTTACTGCCTTACAATGGGGCAACTACAAAAGCATCAAATGAAAGTATTAACTGCTTCATGCTGCGTGATGCCATGGATGCGAGAAGTAAGTTAGAAACAGTCCATTTAAGGCTACTGAATACAAAGATACTGACTGTGGCTCATGAAGTCCTTGAGGGACATGACACTAGAGGCTGAGAAAGAATACTGGAGAAGTATCACTGTTCTTACTTTCTTCCCTAAGCACCTGGCAGTAGCTCCTGCGCAGACAGGACATTGCACAGAAGTTCTTACCATGACAAACTCTTAGCCCAGTTCCAATCCTCTATATCAAACATAACCCATTATGCTATCAAGCTTATATTAGAAAGCAATCCAAGCATGAAGCCATGAGGATACAACAGCACTTCTGATGAGTTTAAAAGGTACTTGAAAAATCAGCACCCATATTTATGGTAACACTTAATTTTAATAGTTAAGCTTATAACCACTACGTTGTGCTCATTTACTCTTCAAGCTGTTCTCTCCAGATTTAAATCTCAGCAATAATATTATTTTGAAGTTTATCCAAGAGATCTGGCACTTCTTATAGAAAGTAAAGTTACCGTTGAAAAAGATCCTTCGCCCAGAATTTTCCCAAATTTGAAGTCATCAGGTCGTTTCTTTCGAGGCTGTGGAGGCTGCTGTCCTGTATGCTGCTGCAAGGCGTTTGAACTAGCTCGTGATTCAGCTGCAGTGCCCTCCATATTAGATCCCTGTCTGCTGCCACAGGTGGAAATGACAGATGGAGCACTGGAATCTGCTTGGTTCCTCACCATCGATGGGGATGAGCAGGAGCATAACACCACACTAGACTGGATTGGAACAGCATCATACTGGAAAGAGAAATGAAACTGTTATTCCCATACCTTCAAACAATTACTACACGCATCTGCGCTTTCTTTCCACAGGAGCATCATATGTCCTATGTGAAAGGATTAGCATTTACATGTCTTTAGGAGGGATGTTAGTATTTATTTTGGAAACAGCAGCTCTTAATGTGTTAAACAACTCTGTTTAGGTCATGCTGCACACATACATATAGCCATAAGTCAAAGTCTGAACACTTCAATTAAAGAATGCTTTTTTCCAAACTCGGAAAAATGCTCTCTAACACCAATGGATTGAATTTCACGGTACAGTCTCCTACAAATACCATGATCTTTAAACTTTATTTCGTGCTCAGAGACAGAGCCATCCATCCGATTTTAACAAGTAGTTGTTCTCTTGAAACTATGAGTTCTCTAGTTATGCAAGCACCTGTGTTCACAGGTAACATCACTTTAGAGATCCAAGTTGCAATGAACTGTAAATGAACAAGTAAAGCAGGAACACTTTAATGGAGACAAAGGATACATTCCTATGTTTTCACTTGGAATCTCACTTTCTCCAATAGTATTTCACTTGAATGCATATTGGGGAAGGACAGGAAGAAAAGAGAACAGCATACAAAAGGCAGATCAGCTGGTGGGTTTAGTAATCAGCAATATCTAATACTTTTTTTTGAAGAATGCTCTTGCCCATGCCCTTTTAAAACAAGGCAGATTATACCATTTAAATCATACATATGGTCACATAAAGATATCCCAATTGCAAGACAAAGAACCAGATACATCCCAGAAAACAGCAAGTACAAGAAGATAAGCTCCAAACACTGACTCCTGCAACACACAAAGCAAATCATCATTGGTATCCTTTTAGCAATTCTTCCGAAGAAAGACCAAGGAGCTTGCAGAGCTGCTTTCCCTCCCTGTCAGTAATACCCCTCCTGTGGTCCATCAGGTGTCTGGCTTCTGGGGTTTTACCCAGAACTGGCCAGAACACCCAGAGTATGGGAGAGCTCTGCTGAGCTGACCACAAAAACCGAAGGGGCATGCAAACAGGGGGAATATTGAAGAACATTAACACCATGCCTGAACATTACTTTTTAGTGTCAGCATCCTAACGTATGTTCAACGGAAACAAACTATGACTTCATGAAAATCTCCTAAGCTCAGCAGAGATGTATTCTATTCTGACCTAGCCTGTAACATACCTCATGTTAATACTCAAAAAAAAAAATCTTCTTTCAGAAGTAATGTTCATCTCATGAATTTCAATTTGATTCAGAACAACCTTCTGCATTTCTATCAGAACCCACTTTAGAAGGGAATTGGGACTTGCATTCAATCACGCATTTGGGCTTAAAGCACCCGGCTCCGAGATTAGCAGTTACTCACTTGGCTGTGCTCTATGCAGCAGGGAAAATCAGCCTTTATTTACTGCTAAGCTTCTTCCAAAAAGAAGATACAGTTCAGAAATACACTTCACTTACACATTTAGTGGCATTGCAGAATGAGACACAAACATTTCTAAGCACGCAAACATGTACTTTGTAAATTGAGATGAAGGTAACAAGGTCAGAATGAGTACAGCTAAAACTCTCCATTTTCTCCAATATTGACTCATAAATATCAATTGCCACAAGACTGAAAATTAACTGTTATTAAGCAGCTATTCGGAACAATATCTTCCAAGAAGCATAAGGGCAGATTCCCTTTCCAATCTGAGTGCAGCCCTACTTGCTCCAGGATCTCTATTTCTCCTTAGGGCTTTTTCCAAGAACTACGACTACACCAACAGGGCAGCGGATCAAGAACAGGCAACAGCTTCTTTTATGAGACCTGTGCTGAGCTTTGTGATACACTGGAGACTGAGGAGGAATCTGCCTATAATGACAGGTATTTGCTGTATTTTGTACCACTTTTGTGAGGACAAAAGAGGGGCAAGGCTGGGGGAAGACGCGGAGACAGATGGGAGAATTTTGCCTTTCAGAAAGTTCACCACCTCCCCCTGAGAGCAGTATATGCCCTGACTCAGAATCAGTGATGCAGCATTCTTCCCTCAGCAGAGGACTAAGTATATTGATGCTATTATAATGAAAACAGCACATATGCTAAAGTCTGTGCGCTGTAGGCCAGTTCCTTATATGCCTTCTATGCAGGTATTTTAGCTGACACCTTCCCCAGACTGGTTATTGCTCCTAACATCCCATTAGCCCAGCTGAATCACTTTCCCTGCAGACAGCTGCTCAAACAGCATCCTGCGTAAAGACACCGAGCAGCCAGAATTCAAACCAGATTGTACTCTCTCCTATCAAGAGTGCGGCAAGGCTGACAAGTATGACCGCTCAGCAGCTGAAGCGATGCCAATATAAGAAGCATCCCATTAAGTGAAGTATAGTAAATAAAAAAAACCCCATGCATACAGACTAAGTAGGAGGATTTAAATGATGAACTGGTTCCAGTCAGGCTATTCTAGAGCAACTGAGGGTTTACAGGTAAATAAAGCAGCAGCACTGGGAGGATCCGATTAGATGTGCAGCTAGCGAGATCACCTTGAAAAAATAAACAAGAAAAAACCCACCACAAAAGCACCAGAGCGCTGAGAGAAAGGGGGGAAAGGTGTTGGATACAGTGTATTGCCTTGCACAGCATCTGAAGCTGTCACAATGAATATCAAGGATAGAAAAGTCCTAAGGGAAGAGACAGCAGTAAAGGACTTTGTAGGAAGAGGAGGTTATTTCCAGCCCAGTATAGCATCAATTAGTCCCCTGACTTTCTCAAAGGAAAGTCAAGATGAAGAACAAGGACAGAGGAAGGTGCAATAGATTTAAAGTATCAGTAACCTAAGAAGTGACAGAACTATGCAGCTAGATATGACACATGTGAACCTTCACAGAGGTCACTCCTACACTTGTCTTTCCATACTCCACCTTCTTGCTTAGCATTGTGTGTCCTGTGTTACTGACCTTCTCGGTTTTATTTTGAAATATTCCAAAAAACATGTCTGCAGAGACTATACGTGTTTCTACATATGTCTTCACATGTGCCAGAGACAGGACACAGGCTTGCTCATCCGGTCCAACCTCATACAGCCACTCTTTGCAAAAATCAGACCTAGGATTCTGCTTCAGCTAGATACAGACTTTTTTGGTGAGATATGAAGTCAGTCACTGAAGAACTTAAAAACCTTCTAAACTGCATCTGCAGTTCTCAGAAGCTTGAGGATGCTCTCCTTCCAGCAGTTACCAGCATCTCTCAGCTGGCAAGCCAATGAAAGCCCAGACCCTCACGTAGCAACAACACTCCCCGACTGCATGTCATGGGTGATAGCCACTCATCTAACCATCTGATCTCTGCTTTTAAAACCAGTCTCTAACACCACCTACTTTCCCAAGCTCTTACGGGTGCTGTTTCTAATTTATCCATACAGAAATTGTTTCCTTCTTAGCGCAGCATACTGTGAGTTTGAAAAGCTAGTAAGAAGATAACAAATCTGCGGCAGGTAAGTGGAATTACAGATCAGACAGATCAAGATTTTCATTAACTAATGTTCACTAAGTCACTAGAAACAGGCTGCCTTTTATTTACATGCCATGTAAACCAAGTCCTTCTGTTGTTCATTTGCCCTCCTGCCTGCAAAGAGTAGAAATAAACTTTAAGAGAAGAAAACTTGAATCAATGAAAAAAAGCCCACTAGATACCACTACACTTTTCTTTTTCAACTTTCCTCTCTCCCCTTTGTATGAGATGCCAGTCACAGGCAAAGCTCCCAGATACCTAGAGGAACCTGTACCCTTTGGAAGCCTTTTTGCAATTCATCATTTTGACAACAACACTACCCCTGCAACTTTTAATACTTTTAACATATCTGAGCACAATAGCATGCATCAAACAACCACCACACTGCTCTAAACCAAGTACACAACCACAACTGCTCTTTCCCACCGCAAAATCTGCAACCCTGTTTTGCTGATACAGTTCTATCAACACTAACAGCAGCAAAAAAACACTTCTAGATGGGCCTTCTGAAGCTTCCAGTATCTTTTACATCTTTCCTAACTGACATGGTACTGAACCCTGCTGATGGCAGAGCATCTGCTACCACTGAAACTCTGCTAGCAACCTCCCATTTCTGTTACAAAGAAAGCCAGTGTCCTAACAGGGTACTAACTACCACTTGTATGCTAACACCGAGCCTAACTGCTGGCTTTATTACAGAATCTCTAGCTGCATTAAGACATAGGGCAGACACGATCAGAAAAGCTATTCCATCCACTTACCAAAAAAGTTGGCCTTATAGGAAGCAGACCTTGCTAACAAAGTATTTACCCAAAGCAACCCAAGCTCTACACCTCACCTGGTATGTTTGTTTTGATTATAAACAATGCTGATGAGACCATGTAAGCTAGAACATTGGCACAAGCCTCTGACGAATGCTTTTTATGGTAAACTGTATTACAGGTCTGTTAAATGAAATAATGCAGATAGACATCCATACAACATTTGTCTTGGCATTGTGTAACACCTGAAATGCAGAACATGTTGAGGAAAATGAATACAGGACATATTCCAAGTACAACTGGTTAAATTCTTAAGCAACTTATAATTGTCATCCCCAAACAAGGATCTCCTCCAGTTCACACCTGGATTGACTCTCAAACCAAAAAGTTTGAAAGAATAATTGCATAAATTGACTGAGGGGAAAAAAACCCACACACCATTTAGCAAAAAAAGTATCTCTCTTACTTAAAACAATCTACAGCTTTTGGTAAATTAGACAAACAGCAAGACCTTACTCTCTTGTATCTACCAAAACATTACTACAAATCAAAATATACCCCAGGAACTCAGGCATAATGGTGGGAAACAAGCAGATAAAGAACTTCAACTAGTCCATACCTGAATGTACAGAACTAGAAAGCATCAGCGAGGAGAAGCAAACTCTTATGCCACCAGTACTGCGCAAACATTAAGGAGAAAACCAAAACAAACCAGTTTCAGGAGAAAATTAAGACACTGAACTCCTGGAAAAATATCTGATTATTTGGCTAGATTAAGCTCCTGAAATCTGTGTTTATTATAGAATCTGATGGTTTTAGCCTTGTGGTATCAGAGAATACAGAACTCTAAAAATTAGGCTGACCTGCAGCTCAACACAAGTCTTACTGGATGTAAGAACGACGGAATGGTGTATGTCCTATGTGTTGAGACTAAACTGCAAGAAGTTCACAGACTATTGTGAAGATAAACCAATACAAACACATATGCCCTACCTCAGCAAGGTCTACTTAAGAAATTATAGGACTCAGAAAGCAACATAGCAGCACTCTGGGATATCTATGAATTAAATCTTTTCACTTGCAAATGGAATTCGAGCAGCTTTTAAAACAGCTGCTGCATGACGCAGGAGAAGATACCCTGCCGGCTGCCATCGCATCCAACCACAGCTTTTACATCTCTGCCACACGCAGCCTTTTGAATCAGAGACAGGGAGATCTTCCGAAATCTGTGAATCTAAGATGCCATGTCCAAATTAATACACTTTTCTTCAAGTAAAAATATGGAGTCCCTCTATTTGTCTGTGCAATTAAGGAGGAATAAAGGCCTTTACTTCACACTGAGAGAAGGTGACTGCTCTCACCAGACAGGTGTTTTGTAGTTTCAGAGACAAAGCTGACTTGCTACTATTTGTCAATACTGAGATTCTGCTACAGACAGCTTAAGTTGGATAGGCTTGGCCTAAGAGGATTTGTAAATTATTTTGATATTGCCATACAAGCCAAAAATTCAAAAACTGAAATCTATTTTGTACTGCTTATAATTTTAACACTGACAACCTGGGGTCTCCTAAGGATTTATCTGCAAAATGGAAAGGGAATAAAGGAACAGCTAGGCAGTTGTATTTAATATATTCTTTTCATAGCACACTGGTGTTTCAGAGGGTTGACAAAGATGCAGCAACTGCATCTGACACACATCCTGTATCTGAAAAAGAGCATAAGAAAGGGCAATTAACAGATATTATGCACAGCTTTCCCACTGGCCTCCTCCCCCCTCATATCCCACAATGAAAATGTTTACCTTCTCCAGGTTCTCCAATACCTATCTGTGACAGCCACCACTTCAAAGTCTAGAGTGCAACACACCCTGGAAGTCCCAGCATATTGCAAAAGAAAAAAAAAGCAACTTATCAGGTCAGATACTAAGAAGGGCCTGAATACACATCCTCAAACTGCTCCTCACAGTGTCTGAAAAGAGGATGCAGGCAGAAGCAGGGTAGTTCAGCTACAAGTTAAGAAGCAAAGAAAGACTGATCCAGAATAACAAAATCCAACCAAAAGCCTCACACTCCAGTGCAGAGAACACTGTACAGGTGCACTTCCCATTATAAACCAACCCCATCCAGGAGTGGTGTGCAGAAAAGCCTAATGACTATCATGGGATCCCTATCAATACTGAACACCAGTTCTCCTTTCATAAACTCTGTACCCTGCTACACCAGAGTGGCTGCCGTGAAGGAAGGCAACCCAGAGCCATGGGAGATGCGTGCTTTCCTGAACTGCAGCAGACACCAGTCCTTGCACCTGACATCCTCCTGTCTGTCTATGCTCTGGACTTCTGTCAGGCTTTCTGCTAAGTGACCGACAGCATCCTCTTTCTATTAACCAACTGCTCATACATGTGTGCATATACACAATACACTGAACAAATGATGAGACTCCACTGCATTCCAGCTTCCATTTATACAAGCTTAGAAGCTTGTCAGATAATTTAAAAAATTTTATAATGTGTCTATTTGCCAACATTACCACCACCTTTAAGGAATTAAAATATTTGCCTAAAAAAAGAGAAAATTAATTTGCATGCCTTAAAAAGAATCCCTAGATGCTGTCAGATTGTCTGATCATTAGAACATAAAATCAAGCATGTAATGGGCAGGACAAACCTCGGATTAAGCCAAACCTAACCAGTACTTCTGAATGCACTGCACAACTAGTGAAGTGCTCACCCACCCAACAGGTGAGCTTTGACACTCAAATACACACAGCCATGTTAAAAAAAATTAACACACCACAGTCATTAGGAGGTGTTTAAAACCATGTGCTCTGTTCGCACTTCCACTCTGTGCAGCAGAGTGCAAAACATAGCTCTAAAAAAACCTAGTCAAAAAGATCATCTGATCAAAAGGGGTGAAATTAAGGCATTTTAAAAAATCTCCTGGTTTTAGTTCCTATACAAAGCAGTTAAACAAGTTGGTTAATCTCAACATATCACAAGAAGTGAAGTTCATACTGAAATGACAGATCTTGTTCAACCTTTCTTAAGGCAGGCAACTCAAGTGTCAAAATCATAACAAATAAAATCAACAGGCATTTGTAAGAACAAACACCCCTCTCCAAAAAACAAACAAGGCACTTATTAAAAACCATACTAGGTTACAGAGATGCCGAAGCTGTTTTCCTGGGACAACAGGATGTTTTTTTCTACAGAGCAGCTCGCTGAAGATCACAGTAAGCCATTTTCTTCAAACCGCAGTAAACAAACCCTACTCCAAGTATTAGTTATTTGTAGATATTAAAAAAGCATTAACATCAAACATTAATCTTCTGTAGCACAGTGGTTTGCATTTGTGTTGTGTAGAGCTGCATCAGCGCCCTTTCAAACCTTGTCGTCAAACCGTATGCAAGGATTACTGCAGAGAACGCAAGATCTGGCTCTTCACCCAGCAAACTGCCCGTCAACTCCACCCGTCCTGAAGAAACCGACCACTGCAGTCAGCAAAACAGTCTGAAGCCAAACAATCTGTCAAAATCTATACTTTCATCTAGGCTCATAAACAGTTACCAATTGCTACATTTAAAACAGACTGAAATCTCAAGTTTCAATTATAAAAGCAATTTTAACACAACTTTGTTTTGCAAAAGAATCTGAAGTCATACATCTATCTGGAATGAAAGTTTTTCATCTCAGAAGTTGCCACATGAAGAACCTGTTGCTTAACAGACCATTTTTATCAATGAGCCACGCAGATTTCAAAACCATTCAGCTGTATAAAAGGAAGATTTTTGTGTTGTTTCAACAAACTGCCACACTAACCGATTAAAGAAGCCCAGGCTCTGGCTCACTAAAACAACGATGCCCACCTTCATGCCTGATGCCCTCTGAAGCCTCTCAGATGCTGGAAGGTAAGCACTCATTGGAGAACTGCATAAAACTGTTCTCCAAAAAGTCTCTTCAAGTATCTTGATAGAAGTGACCATCGTTAAAAAGAAAAGTAGACTTCTTTAAAAAGAATGTCCTGATAATACATTTCAAGATTAAAGATTGCAAGTATTAATGCATGGGGAAAGCTTGGAGCAAATAATTCTTCAAAGACACTCTTCTACCTAAACTGGCTGGGCCCTTTGCAATAGTGGCAGACAGAAGTATGAAAAGAATCCAAGCTAATGTAGTCTGCTTGAATGCATTAACAGCCCTAATACAATTTAAAGAAAAATTACAGTAATATGAAGGTAATGTTGAAAATACTTGTAATAAATCATCATAAGACATAATTTTTTCAGAGGACATGTATATAAAGCCCTGGTTAAGCCTGACATAATGCCATGCTCTAATGACCTATGAGAATTTGATTAGTAAAGCTGTTGTTTTTTTCAGGGACTTTTCTTTGTATTACTGTAAGGCACAAGTAGGTTGTTAAAAAAAAAAAAAAGGCTGTTGTATCTAGCTGGCAGTTGTTTGCCTCATGTTCAAAATCAGTTTTGGAAGATAGAAGTCCTATCTTCAAAACATAATCAAAAAGATTAACTTTGAAGAAGAATCAAAATGAATTGATTTTTCTTCTTAAGCTTTCTGTATGTATGTCCTCGCAAAGTTCACAGTATACAAAGAAGTGTTTTCAAGTTTGGGGAGCCATACCGTATTGGTCACAGAGACTCATCCCAGAACACCAGAAGCTCAGCTCTGACATTCTGCCTCCATCATAACTGATCACTACCACCAGTTCCTTACCTGTTGCAGTAAATCTATAATACGGTTCATCCACAAGTGAGTAACCAGGAAATCAGATTTATGTCATATCAGGAAAAACATAACCAGTAGGCTCAAGGACTTGGAAGCACAGAGAACACCTCTACGTTGTTAGATTGTGTTGGCTCTTCATTTAGGGAATAAAGGCATTTTATCCACAAAACTGATTTTGTTTTGACAGAAATTAAATTCTCACATCCCGAGCAATGCTGACCCAAACATTTTAGTTAATGCAAATGCCTTTTTCTGAATTTGACAACCTTACATATATGGTGGTATTTCCCACCACTAATTTCCAGGATTCCAATTCCAAATTCAGGTAGGGATTAAAGCCAATGACAGGATTTGTAAGAACCTGCATATCAGCCGGTTACCCTCTAACCTCCTCTACAGCTAAGCAAAGCGCTTAAGTTCCAAGCATCTTTAGGATCAGAGACTATTTAAGGCCTCCTTCCACCACCTCCCCGCCCCAAGCCTCAAAACAGATCAGAAACAGGAAACCACAAAAATCTCTAAGAACCTAAAGTCAGCCTATGGCCCAAACAGCTACACATGTAAACAAGCCGCTGAGAGTTCATTTCACACAAACAGGCCCAGGCCAGCTCACAAGAAAACAAAAGCCATCTGCAAGGGCACTAGTCTGGGGTCACGTTCCTCACCACCAGCTCTCTCATGGAGCGCACAAATATCACGAGACATCGTGCAGTGTGGACAGGGGCTCATGCTTACACACACAGAAGGACTTCCTACCCTGGGCTCCTCACAAGTGATTCTAGGGGGCAAAGAGAACCGTTTTGGGTGAAAGTCAGAGGAGCAGCCACACGGAGGTGGCAGTACGCAGACTGAGTGTACAAAGGTTGGACAGCACGGTCAAGAACTGCAAATTAAATTCCTGCAGGATCATGAAAGAACTGGACATCAAATGTCACGCTTCCTTT